CGCGTTCCGCGGTGTTTTTAAAAAGTCCCAATTTTTGGAAAAAATGCATGACAAGCTAGGGTGTACGGTTTTTGGCTGTCAAGTGGCTATTTCACCAAGATATGAGTTTTATCAATGGCGTCCCGTTTTACCCGTGTTAAAATCTGGTCACCTTACTATAGGCCAGGGCAGAACTGGCCCCGTGCGTTCCTGAGACTGTCACTCTGGACGGAAGTAGAAAACCCCTTCTTTCACAAGTGCTGTCTGTGCGTTCTCTGTAGCCACTGCGATGAATTAGCAAACCCAGGAGAGACATGGAGCATCATGGGAGGAGTGGTTGGTGTCAGAATAAGGTAAAGAAAGATAGAGGGTGGACGTCGTGTCTAACCTCTGCCATGAGGCAATCAGCCGTGGGCTGGTGCAAAGATGGATTCTCCTTCAGCCTAGTGGAAGCCAGAGTTGAGAGGTGGCCTCCATGCCGTTGACCAACAGCTGTCACACAGGAGCATCCAGCCGCAGGGCAGTTTGTCAGATAGAAGTCAGAAGAAAAGCAGCAGGGAAAAGCAGAAACTAGAAGGAGGAGCAAAGAGCAAGGAAACAAGGAACCTACGTGGGGCGAGGACTTTAAGGCTGAAGATGGCAACAGGCCCAGAAAGGGCTCGGTGACAGAGCTGGTGGTGACAGGTGGCAGAGCCTGTCCTGAAGTGGCTGAGAGGTCGCCTGCAGACCACAGGAGCCGAAAGAGCTGCCTTGCCCTGATGATGGGAGATTTTTGACTACATCTTCCCTAAGCCTGAGTTCTAGCCTATTGATCCCAATTTGTGCCTTGTTTCTTCCTCATCCACATAACTACATATTCTATGAGTTCTGGGTGGTCATGACAAAGGATTACTGAACTGAACAAGGAAGTCGAGAGTGTCGTGGGGGGAAATGGCAAGTTGGTAAGAAGAAATTGGAGAGTAGAGGCCTGACCTTCACATCTGTGTTAGGCTGGGTTCCCTAGAGAAACAAAGGACACCCATATATGTGTAAGAAGGAGCTTTATACCTAGCAGTGATTGTGCATAAGAAAAACTTCCCAACCCAGTCCAACTTAAGTACATAAGTCTAATACTAGCCCATAAGTCCAATTCTAGTCCATAAATCCCTCTTCAAACCCATGAAGCCATTGCTTCTTGGCCTTTTGACTAAGATCAAATGCAAACTCATAAAGTCACGTGCAATGGTGCAGGAAGATCACAGGTCGGTGGGTGCAAGGTGCACATAAAGTCTGTGGGTCCAATGGTGGTGGACGCATATCCAGGGCTC